CAGATGTTAATCCTCAGTGGTATAGGCCAATAGATCATCAAAATCGATGGAGTATTATGGTGTGGTGCGGCATTGTAAATGGTTATTTGATTGGACCTTATTTTTTTGAAGAAAACGTTGATAGACACAGTTACTTATCGTTGCTAAGAGATCACTTACCAGGCTTATTAGAAGATGTTGACTTAGCAACAAGAGCAAGAATGTGGCTTCAACAAGATGGTGCTGCACCGCATTATGCACTCATTGTACGTGCCTTTTTAAATGCCAGTTACAATGACAGATGGATTGGACGAAGGGGTCCAGTTGAATGGCCTCCTTGCTCACCAGATCTGACGTCGCCCGATTTCTTTTTATGGGGATACTTGAAAAATGTTGTTTTTGCTGAACGACCAACCACAAGAGATGATTTTATGGACCGCATTCGTAGAGCTTGTGCAGCCATTCCTAGAGCTACCCTGCTTAGAACTGTGGATAGTTTTCAAAACAGATTGCAGTTATGTCTCGAAGCCAACGGAAGTAATTTTGAACAATTACTCCGTGGGTAATTCATTTAAATTACAGTGTCAGTGAGAGGCAAGGGGACTCACGATAATCAAGCACCCCGACGTGAGAGGCAAGGGAACTCACGATAATCAAGCACCCCGACGTGAGAGGCAAGGGGACTCACGATAATCAGGCACCCCGACGTGAAAGGCAAGGGGACTCACGATAATCAGGCACCCCGACGTGAGAGACAAGGAGACTCACAATAATCAAGCACCCCGACGTGAGAGGCAAGGGGACTCACGATAATCAAGCACCCCGACGTGAGAGGCAAGGACACTCACGATAATCAAGCACCCCGACGTGAGAGGCAAGGGGACTCACGATAATCAGACACCCCGACGTGAAAGGCAAGGGGACTCACGATAATCAAGCACCCCGACGTGAGAGGCAAGGGGACTCACGATAATCAAGCACCCCGACGTGAGAGGCAAGGGGACTCACGATAATCAGGCACCCCGACGTGAGAGGCAAGGGGACTCACGATAATCAGGCACCCCGACGTGAGAGGCAAGGGAACTCACGATAATCAAGCACCCCGACGTGAGAGGCAAGGGGACTCACAATAATCAAGCACCCTAAAGGAAACAGAACTTACTACGTCCACGTCGTTGTTTCCGGGTAACGCTAAAAGTAAGATGAAAGTGCTTTTGACCTTGATATGACCTTCAAAAGGTCAGGTCGAAAAACTAAAAAATCTTTATGCTCATGTAAAAAGTGCCATTGTTTAAGAGTCCATTGTCAAGAAACGGATTCTGCGGTCAAAAATAGGGTTTACTAATAAAAAAATGCGTTATGAACCTCAAACAACCTTGAAAATTGACCTCAAGGTCAAGCTAGTCAAAGTAATTTACACTTTTACAATTCATTGACTTTGTTTAAGCATTATGCACATTTGTGTTACCCAGAAAACCACGTCATTTCAGAAAAAGTACACCAGATCGTGTTTCAGGCATTTCACCTTCATTTTTGACCTTTCCAAGGTCGCAAAAACAATTTTTTCATAAGACAAGTTTGATGTAAAATTTTCCGCTCTTTCAAAATCCGCAGTCAAAAATAGGGTGTTCAATTTAAAAAAACCATCGTGACCTTGAAATAACCTTCAAAATTGACCTCAAGGTCAAAACCAATGGTACAATTGAATGACCCCCTCTGTCCTGGTCAACTTTTATCTAAACCATTTTTTTGTAGATACCGTAATTTGGAAGATATTCGGGTCCATAGATTAAAATGACTCACCCTGTATATATTGTATATACTATAATAATAATAAAAAGAAAAATAATGTCAATATTATAAACATACCTATTTTATTGTTCATAATTGCACTATTTTTTTCTTTTTTTCTTTATTTATTCTTTATCCTTTTTTGACTCTTTTATATTGTATGTTTAATTTCCTTTGCATTTATCCTTTGCATGTGTATCCTTTGTATGCATCAATTTAAATTAAATATATGATGTGTTAACTTAACTGAAAATAATAAAGACCCAGCTAGCCAAGGGTGATAAAATCACGTTTCGTTAAAGCTTTTCGGCAAAGTTTGCTTTAATTTTAACAACAATTTTCTGGCAAACATTTGCCTTGCTTCGTCTTGTCTAAATATTTCGAACAAATTAACGGCAAAACTTTTCGTTATATAATGCTGCAATTAACAGAGAAAAGTTTGTTCGTAAATTTTACTTATAGAAGAGAGCAAATGATGGTATCATGGTGAAATACAAACTTTACGTCAGTAATAGCAAATCTTGTGATACACGATATAAAGCAAATTTGTGACAAAAACAGAGCAAATCTTGCCATGCACGGTATAACAAACAATTTACGAAAAAAATAGAGCAAAGTTAACTCTGATACGATAAGACGCAATATTCATGCAAATAACAGAGCAAACCTTGTTGTGCATGGCGTGATAGCAAATTTGTGGCAAAAATAGAGCAAAGATTTGTTCTGGCATGATGAGACGCAAAATTTACGCAAATAACAGAGCAAACCTTGCCGTGCATGGCGTAGTCATGTGTCACATACGTTTGCGCGCTTTTAATGCGCGCTACTACGCTTGCGCGAATTTTTGTCCTGTAACCTCCAGCACTGTTCCCGCGTTCTTCTGAATTCAACCACCGTGAGTGCTACCATACGTGCCGCAAGGTTATCACAGAGGTTATAATTCTAGAAGCTTCCCACATTTTTGAGACGAGCTTCCAAGTTCTAAGTGCCGCAAGGTATCGCAGAGGATAAGAAGATTTTTCAGGCGAGTATGAAATCAGTTAAATATTCTGTTTCGCGTAAATCTTTCCACTGGTTGTCTGCGAGACAACGAAGGCGAATTACTTTGGAAATTAAAAATACTTTACATTCAAATGTTTCACAAGATCCTGTTACGCACAAACAGTTGGATAATGCTGCTTCCTTTCACGTTGCTGATTCTTTTCGGACAGACAATGAAGTTTCTTTTACGGACAATATTGCTAATAATATTTACAATATTACAGATACCAATAATATCGATAATGCGAATATATTGTCTAATAGTAATGGTAATGACAGTGAAGATTCCACTTCCTCATCTCTCAGATTTCTTCCATTGAAGAAACATTTCAAGATCGTTTAGCCGCGTGTTTTGTCAATAATAATTTTACACATGTTCAAAGTAATAATATTTTATCTGTTCTTCGAACACACACATGCTTCTCTTCGTTACCAAAAGATGTTAGAACTCTTTTAAAAACTCCACGAACACCTGTTGTTGTATCTGAAGTAGACCCAGGAAAATATATTTATTTCTCTCTTGAGGCAGAAATTGTTAAAACATTATCATGTCTTCCTTCGGCATCTGTACCATATGAATTAGAAATCGATTTTAATACAGATGGATGTAGTTTAGATAGAGTAGGAAGTAATCACATCTGGCCAATTCAATGTAGACTTGCAAATGTTAAATATACAAGGCCAATAGTAATTGGAATATATAGTGGCGTTGAAAAACCACATGATCCTAACTTATTTTTGAAAAATTTGTTACCGATGTTAACAATATAATAAGTAACGGTGGTATAGATTTTGCTAGTAATAAGATACCAATACGTTTAAGATGTTTTATAGCCGATGCACCAGCTCGTGCTTTTGTTCTTAATCACAGAGGTCATACATCTGGAAATCCTTGTTCAAAGTGCAAAGTTTCTGGCTTGCGATGTGAAGGCAGATATACATTTGGTGGTATTAATCATCTTCTTCGAACAAATGAAGAATATCTAAAATGTATAGATGAAGATCATCACAAAGATGGCAAAAGTCCATTGTCAATGTTACCCATAGGTATGGTTTCACAAGTTCCCTTTGAATATATGCATCTAGTATGTTTGGGCGTTATGAAGAAACTTTTATCTGCATGGATATGTGGTAAATATACACGTTTCTCAAAATTACCAGCAAGATCCATTGCTGTAATATCTCAAAGATTAGATAATCTTAAATCATATTGTCCATCAGATTTTGCAAGACGTCCTAGAACAATCAATTTTCTAAATACAAGGCTACAGAATTTCGTCAATTTTTGTTGTATACAGGTCCAGTAGTAACATACGGTTTTCTGAATCAACAAGTATATACTCATTTTTTGTTTTTGCATACTGCCATAAGAATATTGATTTCTACTTCGCCATCACAAGCATATTTAAACTTTGCTGAGATTGCTCTACAAAAATTTGTTTCGCGATGTGAGAATCTGTATGGTTCAGCATTCATTTCATATAATGTGCATGGTCTTCTTCATCTCACAAATGACGTGAGACAATTAGGTCCTCTTGATTCATTTTCTGCTTTTCCTTATGAAAATAATATGCCACTTTTCAGAAAATATTGTAGAAAATCTAATTTTCCTCTTCAACAATTTTCCAATAGAATATCAGAGATGGAAGCTTGTGAAACAAATTTGCATCATAGTCAAACTTATTTTTCCAAACTCACTGATTCTTCTACGCAAGTATTTTCAGCGCATAATAAAGGTCCTCTTCCACCTAATATTAATCAAAACAACTGTCAGTATCGGAAATTGATATTCAACAGAATTTTGCTGAGTTTGAATACACGAGATAATTGCTGTATTTTACATGACGGATCAATTTGCCTCATTGTCAATATCTTCATGGACAAAACCAAATATTATCTGGTTGTAAAAAAATTTCAAAAGGTAGATTCATTTTATGATATTGGCATTTTGTCCTCAGAAGTGTTCTGCAATAAGTAATGACATTTTTTGTATCCAAGTAAATGAGGTACGCTTTAAATGTTATAAAATGCCTTATTGGAGTGGTTCATCAATAGGTAACAGTAGTAGTGATGAAAATGAGTCAGAAGTTAGCAATGAGTATGTAGTTAGTGCAATTGTACATACAGATGATCTGTAAAAAAATAAAAACGTTTATAGCTGTTCTCTTAGATATAATTTACAGGAAGAAGAATAATCTTCAGGATGACTAACAGAATACAGGTTAGTATAATTGAGTCATATAATTTTCACTCAGTTTAATTATAATGGCAATAATAACTGAATTCTTCAAATATTTTAGATGCTCTCTATATTTCTGCGCTTAAGGAAAATAAAAACAGGAATCATACTTAAAACAAATACAAATGTAATTACGTAAGTTATATGATTATTCATTTGCTTTTTCTGTCGTTTAATTTGCTATTTTCTGATATTCTTGCATAAAATAATATATAATTTTTTAATTTTTTCTAGGAACTGTTTTGCATGTATTGATTTTCTTTAATGCTCTATATATGCTCCAACTACTGGTGACTTCTGATTTCCTTTGAGAATAATATTTAAATATATATATATATGTATACTTTTTTATTTCACTTTATTGGGTGCTTTCCATTCAATGACACAAATCTAAGGTCTGTTTTTTTAGCTGTACCAGTTCAAAGTTTATTTTTTTACTCCACATTGGAAAGGAAAAGATAAACTCTGAACTAGTGCAGCTAAAAAAACAGACCTTAGATTTGTATCGACTTGTGTCACTAAAAATAGAAAGTACTTATTATTAATTCCATATATATATATATATATATATAGGAGACGCGGTAGTGTCTCCGGCCATGTTCAAACCCTAAAAGACCTTAAAAGACACTACAAGTCTCCTTATCCTGCACCATCAAAGTCCATTTTTTGGAAGTATAGAACTACTAAAATATAAAAAATTTTGAATTGCACGTAATATAACCTGAAAGGCGGCATCGCCACGAGTAATTTGAGCCAAGAAGGAATAAAATCGGTCAAGCCGTTCTGGAGATACAAGCGGTCAAAAAGTGACGTTTTTCATGAAAAATGAAGTAACGTCGTCTTCTTCTTCTTCTCTGTCCGCGTCCGCTGACGTCATCAGGATTATATATATATATAAATCTATTCTCACACCTTTCACTCACACCTCCCTCAACTTCCACCCACCCCTTTCCCTCCCACATACCGCCCCCCCCACCCCCACCCCCACTCCCACCCCTCTTTTGCCCTAACTCACCTTCTTTCGCCTCTTTCACCCTCTTTCGTCCTCTCTCATCCTCTGTTGTCCTCTTTCACCCTCTTTCACCCTCTTTCACCCTCTTTCGTCCTCTTTCACCATCTTTCGCCTCTTTCACCCTCTTTCGTCCTCTTTCACCCTCTTTCGTCCTCTTTCACCATCTTTCGCCTTTTTCACCCTCTTTCGTCCTCTCTCACCCTCTTTCATTCTCTCTCACCCTCTTTCACCCTCTTTCATTCCCTCTCACCCCCTTTCGTCCTCTTTCACCCTCTTTCGTCCTCTTTCATCCTCTTTCGTCCTCTCACCCTCTTTCGTCCTCTTTCACTCTCCTTTGTCCTCTCCCATTCTCTTTCATTCTCTCTCACCCTCTTTCGACCTCTCTCACCCTCTTTCGTCCTCTTTCACTCTCCTTTGTCCTCTCTCACTCTCTTTCATTCTCTCTCATCCTCTTTTGTCCTCTCACCCTCTTTCGTCCTCTTTCACACTCTTTCGTCCTCTCTCACCCTCTTTCGTCCTCTTTCACCCTCTTTCGTTCTCTCTCACTCTCTTTCGACCTCTTTCGTCCTCTCTCACCCTCTCTCACCTCTTTCACCCTCGTACGTCTTTTCTCACCCTCTTTCGTTCTCTTTCACCCTCTTTCGACTATCTCGTCTTCTCTTACCCTCATTCGTCCTCTCTCACCCTATCTCCAAAAAATCATAAAAATGAAAAGGTCAAGCCATGTTCAAAAGAAGGTCCTCAAAAATTTAAACCTAGTCTATACAATGAAAAATAATTACTCGTAATTTTAGAGTTCCAATTTGTTAATATCGAATAATGTATTTGTTTCAAGTAATGGCAGTAGAGTCAAATACATACCTACGTATATGCAGTTTTTGCTGTTAAATGTACTTGAACAAAAAAAATAATTAAATGATTTAAATATAGCACATTTTAAATCAAGAAACTTATATAATCGAACTCTGTTTAGGAAAAGGTAAAACATTTCATTTGCCTCTGCCTTTACAAGAAACATTGGATAAGATATGTCCTCCGGAAGATCCTATAAATTTGAATCACGAGTTGCACATTCTCGTTCGAGGTATACCCAAGAAATCTAAAGTGGTTTGGGAAAATTTGGTAGATATTAATAAAATGTATAAGGCTTTACAATGGTTGAAAGAAAATAATCCTCATTACTCGAAAATTCGTCTTCCAGCGTCATCTGATGATCTATTAAAGGATAAGTTGCAGGAAACAGAATATAGGATTGTCGATGAGGAAAGCGACAATGACGAAATAAATGAGGTGGTTGAGGAATTACCAGCATTGAATTTGTACAATGTACAGCAAAACAAAAATAATAATATAAGAGTTTTAACAAAAATAATAATGATCAAACCGTTTTAAAACGTACGGCTTTTCTCACACAAATCACTGAACATTCGGATATTAACGATCAGTATACAATATACCCAATACACGCGAAAAGAATTGATAACGAATCTGCATTGAAGCTTTATCAAATGGTGAAAATTGAAGATTTTCCAATGGATAATCGTTATAAATATCTGGATGTCATGTGTTTCCCTGATTTATATCCTGATGGTGTCAATGGACAACGAGAAGATAGAAACTTTGCATTGCCGGAATATTTATTTATTAGAACACGATTGATGTCGAAACATAGTAGATTCAGGTTGAATCTGCAGTATCTGTTCTTCCTTCTCAATGATGCTAACTACCGACAGTTGAAAAGTGGTATCTATTATACGATGATGGTTACTAACCCACGAGAGAGATACACTGCTGGTAGATACTTGAACGAATTGAAAGGTTACCAATTAGAATCGAATTTAATGAGTATTTTCGCAAAATTGAGAAATACGGATCAATTTTAGCGACAACCGTCCAATAATGTAAAATGCATGACTTTGCATTACGGTCCAGCGACGTGGTTTTTGACTTTGAGTCCTAGTGAATGGAAATGGTCCGATTTGGGTGAATATTTACGAGATATGAATCCCGATAAAGAGAAGTTAGGCATCAGCGAACTAATCGCATACGATCCTGTAAGTACTTCTAGATTCATGTGCATAAAATTCAAAGCCATGATTGATTTTATTTGTTCGTCCGATAATCCAATAGGAAAGGTTATTCATTACTTCTGGCGACTGGAATATCAACGTAGAAGTATCCAGCACATGCATTGTATGATTTGGATAAAAGATGCTCCAGTATTAGGAAAATCGCCGGATGAAGAAGTTGCTACGTTTATTCAAAAATACGTAACGTGTGAAATTCCAGATGAAAATGTTTCGCCAACGTTGTACGATACGGTAATAAGTGATCAGAATCATAAACATAACTCGTATTGCATGCGTACAAAAAAAACGGAAATTAATATATACAGAAAGTGTCGGTTCGATTTTCCTCGGCCAGTTACTGAGAATTTCGTTTTAAGAGACGTTATCACTTTGATAGTCGGTAGAAAAAATTTACGCAGTAAGAGCAGATTGTACGATCTTCCTCGCAAGGAGTCGGAAAGGTTTATAAATGATTATAATCCGGCTATCAAATTAGCCTGGGAGGGAAATATGGACATACAATTTATTAGAGAAAAATCAGAGTTTTTAAACTCATATTTAACAAAATACACGACAAAGTCGGAAAAATGCAATACAGACTTTGAAGTGATAGATTCGAATAAGTCCTTGGCATCGAAACTGTGGAATTTTGCAATGCATTCATTAAATAACAGAGAATGCGGTGCTTTAGAAGCTGCGGATACACTATTAGGGAATCCCTTGTACGGTACGGATAATGATACCATGGTCAAATGGATCGATGTTAATGAGGTGAGAAATAGAAAAGTTAAAACATTTAATGAAATTTAAGCTCTCGATGAAAATTCTACGAATATTTACTGTTCGTCACTCATCGATGATTACTATCCAAATAGACCTCAGGAATTAGAATCATTGAATTTGTACGATTTTGCCAGATTCTGGGAAATTACGAAACAGATGTCAAATAATGACGAAGTCAAGTGTTACAAACTGGCATCGGGTTTATTTTTAAAAAAACGAAAAAAGGGTTATTTAATTAACCATTATCGATTTAATATAAAAACTGAGCCCGAAAAATACTTTTACTCGCTGCTTCTTCTGTTCAAACCATGGAGAGATTTGAGTGAACTCAAAGGTACATTCGAGACTTACACGGATGCCTTTAAGAATTCAGAGTCTGTTTTAACGAAGGCAATGAAATATCACGAAAGGCTCGAAGAAATACAGAAAGCTTTTGAGAACGTTGCTGAATTAATCGAGAAGCGCGAAAATGATCTGAAAACAGCAGACAGAGACAAATCCGATGACGATGAACTGGATTGTAATCCGATAGAAGCTGACGACGCGATGAAAGATCTGGAAGATTTTGGTAAGATTGACGACCCGATTGATTTATCGCAAATGATGTCGCAATTGAACAAAGACCAGAAAAGAGTCTTTGATGGAGTATGCCAAGTTTTACAAGATAAAAATCAGATTCTGCGACTGTACGTAAGTGGCGAGGGTGGTGCAGGGAAAAGTTTTCTAATTGAAACGATTAAACATTGGATCAGAATAAATTTGGAAAAAACGACTGCCATATCTGCTCCCACGGGTATCGCAGCATTCAATATCGATGGCTTGACAATCCATAGAATGTTTCAACTACCGGTTAGTCATGAATCTACACCAAAATATACGCAATTGTCAGACATGGTCTTGAAAACTTTGAGAGACAAATTAAAGAATGTCGAATTATTTATAATCGAAGGAATTACATGTAACAATGCAATGATGGATTTAGGAACGACTGTATTCAGTGATGGTCAAGCCTATGTAGGTTTGTCACGAGTAAGTAAATTGGAAGGCCTACATTTGATAATTTCAATCCAGCATCAGTTAAAGCAAACGAGAGCCATTGTAGAATATAATCGACTGAGATCTATATTCAAATCTGAACTGCCACAAATCAATCCGTCCGAGAAAAAGGTTGTGAAAATGTACGATCGTCGATGGGATATCCCTAATATCATTGATGATATGCAGAATTATGATTGTGAGGAACCAGAAAGTATAGTTACGTGGAAAATATA